CCGGTGCTCATCAAATCTATGAGCACCCAATGCTCATCTTCCCAATCACGTCGTAGCATATGGGGAGAGGTGCCATTGTCCAACAGCAATCCCCATTTTTCTCTCCAAACCACATGAGCACCTCAACATTTAGCAACATTCTCTCATCTCTCATTTTCTGTTATTTTGGGTCTTTTAAATGTTTATTTTGCACATATTTATTATTAAAATAATTAAACATTGAAATTATTTTTAAAAAAGATACCCCTAAATATAGAACTCACTTTGTCCTATTATATGTAATGAGAGAACTTAATATAATAAATATAAAAAAGTTAATCTAAGTATTCTTTTGTTAAAAAATAATTGCAATATTGTCTTGTCTAACATGATGATATGACTTTGGAGGAGTTAAATCAAGTGCCTTGTTCTTGGTTTGCGTTGACCTTAAACCCTGTCTAAGATTTTTGCATAAAAAAAAAAGAAGAATAATTCCAATGTTTATTTTTTTAATACTTTTTTGATCCTAAATATAAGACTCATTGCGTACCGTAAATATTTACGGTACAAAATGAGTTTTATATTTAGGTCCGTAAGAGCAATAAATATGTTTAAAATAAAAGTTTGAAAGACCCAAAATAAGAGAAAATCGTAGATGGGAGAATGGTGCTGAATGCTCAGCTACTAATATGGATTGTTGGGCGGTGGTGCCTTTACATATGCTACAACAATGAGCACTGGGTACTCATAAATTCGATGAGCACCCAATGCGTAGTGCAAAAAATTTCAATTTGAGAAAACTCAAAATGAGAGTAGGAAGCTCTCCACTCCTTCAAAATTTCTAACAGAACAAGGAGAAGGGTTCATTTTCCCTTTCCTCTCTACTCTCCCCTCCAACTAAACACACTACTAGGTTAGGAAAGGAAGAGGAAGAGTGGAAATGTGAAAGTCAGATGTCAAACACTAGGAGTTTGGAACTCCACGATCATGGACAAAAGGAAAGAAAAAGAAATTAGGAGAACAAGAAGTTTCTGGATTGAGAGTGGGAGAGTTAATTTTCTTCCCGTTCATAATATAAGAAATTAGTTAATTTTTTTCGCATATCAAGAAATAAAAATTTAGTCATTAAATGTGTTCTAAAATGATAAAATTTTCTTATTTTACCTCTAAATATGAAAATATTGCTCTTAATGTTACAATTTTATTATCTCTCATGTCTCTCCTCTCTCTTATTTTAACAGGGGCAAGGTGAAAAAGTCGCATTAATTGTCTTAATAACATCTTATATTTTATATCATAATTTTTTTTCTAGCCAACTTCTTATATTATGAACTAGAGAGAGTATTACTAGTTAAAATTTTTTAAATATACACATACTATTAAATGGGCAGGTAAGGGGCATCTAAGGGTATGCCCATACCCAGCCTGTCTATTTTTTCACACTGGCTGTTTAATTTCCACCCATCATGGGCCTTTTTTGGGCTGGCCCAAATGGATAAATTTTCGCCCAGCACAAGTGGGTTGGGTGAGTTGCAGATTCCTTGGTCAGCCTTATAAAACCTAAGTTTTCAAAGGTCCGTGTATTTTATTTGCACAAATTTACTCCAAAAAAAAAGTTCCAAGATAGTAAAAAAGAAAATTCCAATAACATATATTTTAAAATTTAAAATCTCGAAAAAGTTATCCCGTTTTAAAAACTCTCAATTAGTCAAAATTTATTACTAAAAATGCTAAACGAATGGGATAAAAATATATAAAAACATGATTTGTCAGTAATTATTGTTTAAAAAAGTAATTTTATTAGCTCCAGAAGTTTTCAACATGTATATATCACATGGACATTTGTCAACTGAAAGGCCACAAATATATGGTTGTCCATATCTAGTTATCATGTGTTTTCACGAAGCAAAGATATCTGACGATGTTTCACCCAGCAAATTCAACTAACAAAATATTGCAAAGAAAAGGCCAGGGGCTATATTACTCACAGCATTCAGAAACTGTTTGGATTTCAGGTCGAGTCTGTCTTTAATAGGTTGGACTATTTGATTGAAAATTAAAAAAAAATTCCAACGAAACAAAATAATCAAGTAAGATTATATTTCGGTTGACTGGGTAACCTAATTAGGATAATCACTCAATTAAATATAATATAAATTAAATAGGTGATTTAATTCATATTATCCAGATAATCTATATAGAATTATATATGTATGTGTGATCATAATATCTGTGGATTAAATCAAGAACTTTATGCAAGCTCTGCCCGATTCACTATTATGTATTAAGCACTAAAGAAGGCAATGAAGGAAGAAGGCAGGAAGGCAAAACAATATGGTTTAATTTATTCGGTTATTGTTGTTATTATTATTATGAATCAAGAGATGAAAGATGCTTCTCTAAATTAGTGAACAAATGGAAGTAAACAACTAGGAATGAATCCCCTTATGCTTAGCCTTCCTCATCCATCCCTTTGATTAATTTATTTTGATTTAAGTTCCCAACTCCTAGTGCTAAAATATGCAATGCCCATATGATCATTCAGGAACTAATTGTTACCAAAATTTGCAATTAATCCAAATCTCAATTAATTACCAACATAGCAGCAATGGCACCAAGACAGAACAAAACAATTCTTTAAGCTCAGCTGAAACATTCCTAAAAATAGAACGCACGCATGATAATAAAAGCCAAAATAAATATATTAAGAAGGGAAATAATATGCGATGGAGAGGAACGAATGAATAATACTTCGAGGAGTGAGATAATAAATATATTAAGTATTAAAATAAATAATTAATAATGGGGGCAAAATATAGGAAACTGGCTCAAACAATTTGAGACATCTTACAAATATTTTTATAAATAGAGACAAAGTAGAAGTGTTGATTGTTTCTAACAATAATTAATTTTCACTCCTTTCTTATTTATAAGTTACTTGTACCCTAAGCTTGTAAACTAAGAAACGCATTAAATTGGTAACTTTTCTACCTTTTGCCCTTATTAAAGGAAGCACAGTTAAAAAAAAATAATATGGTTTACATATTCTCTTACCTTATTTAAGTCAACAAGGATAACGTTGAAAAAGATCATTAATTACCCTACAAGTGATTTATATTTAGGAATAAACTTTTTCTCTACAAGTGATTTATAAATAGGAACAAAATAGTTAAATATGAATTAAAAAACATATTTGTTAAGAAATAAACATCTTTAAAGATATAATGTGAAGATAACGCACCTCATCAAATATTACTTTTCTGCGCACGCCATGCATCATCCTATCCATTTTGTTGACGTATATACTTGATGTGTTGTTTAGTCAAGTTATTACGTTGTGAATTTAATATATTTGTCACGCATGACGTCGTGGTTTTTGAAGAAATGTATTAATTAACGATTAGTAAACAGAGACTCCAGCATTTTAGGGCATCAGCAATTAGGAAACGTTTCCCATCGAACTTAGTTTCTTAATACTCTCTCACATTCAAATATAAGATAAACTTTATTGAAGGGGCTTAATTTTTATAAAATAACAATCAATTTTATTTAAGCATTTAATGAGTTTTTTTTAAATTTTACCCAATATATATTCTCTTTCCTTTTTTGTTCATTTATTACATTTATTACTTATTTTCTTCATTAAGAAGGGTATATTTGGAAAAAAATATATGCCTTACATATTTATTGTAAATTGATTTTAACTAATTTCTTAATAAATGTAAATAGATAAAATTTATCTTATATTTTAAACCCAAGAGAGTAATAAATAGTTTTAGAATTTGATAAACATTAACAATGGTTTTTATGGAATGCAGTCATCCGTAGGAACATAAATTTTAGATAAGAGTGAAAAAAATGTGATGATTACATTGAATTGAGTATATAATGTGTGTGGAGGAGAAGGAGAAAATTTTACAAATAGTTTAAAAAATTGTTTTAGGAATGTACAAAATGAAAAAAGAAAAAAAGAGTTAAACAAGCCTGCCTACAAATGTTAGGTCTAATTAATAAGAAGTTAATCCATAATTAAGTATGGGTTAAAAGCTGACTAATATCACAATTATTTTGGTGGATAATATGTAAATATTCAAACAAGTGTTCTTTCAAGACTCGCTTTAATTAAAATTATCTCAACCCACTTCATATCACTTTCTCTGTTTTTTTTACCTTATAAAGCATAGAGGAAAATTGAGTTGCAATTGTCTGGCTAGTAATTAAGCAACCGAACTTCTGTCTTCTTTATTTTTGTTAATGACAAGGAAAAAATGAACATTAACTAAAGTATCAAAACCAAAAATAGCGGTAGTTAACTCGTCAAATCTATTTTAAAATTAAAATTGATTTCAACTTTACCCATATTAGATGAGGTTATGAAGGAAAGAGAAGAATACAAAGAGACATTTAAGCATTAATTTTAGGATAAAATTAATAAATAATTGTTAATTATTTTTTAAATGAATTATATTTTTTAATCTTTTTTCTATAAGCGATTTATATTGTGGGCTAGAGGAAGTATATAATTTTTACAATTGACAGAAAAAGATAGAACTAGCACAGGAGTTGTTAAAATGATACTCCTCCAGTCTTTAATATAGGATCTAATTCTTGAGTTGGTTTTGGTCCTAAATATAAGACCCATTTCTTATATTTATCAATTTTCTTTAAATTATCCCTATAGATACTCTCTCAATTATAATCAAGTAGAAGAGGGAGATGGGGTATTAAGAAAGATGATTATAGTGTTTTAGGAAAAATGTGTCACTTTTCTTATAATTAACCAATTTACCTAACTTTTTTAATTTAATCAAATTAGTTAAATGAGTTTTATATTAAGGGCCGGAGGAGTACCAAAAAAATGCATGTGCGGTGAGAACATCAATTTTAAATGCTAGGAAAATGTCGCACTATCTTTTTTCCCCCGGTGAAATAAACGTTTAGGTGACTTTGATTTTAAGGCTCACCATGTCAAGTATCAACACGCATCACTACAAGCATTATTCATAGACCACTCTGCATATATGACACACGTATAGTTCATTCCTTAGTCATACAACATTATTGTATTCAAGTACTACATAAAATATAAAATCTATACTCTTACTCACATAATTTATTCATAAACGATGTATATGTGTGTGTTTGTGTGTGTGTATATATAGTGTGGCTCACTTTAGACTCCATACAACGTAACCACAATCCAATTTAATTTATTTATAAAACTCAATGACTCCTAAACCAGTGTAGGCAACGTGAGCTGCGATACGGTAGCTAGAAAAGCCACTATCTTTGCAAAGAGCTTCAAATTCTTTCTCTGTTCTTTCCTTCCCACCAGATTGCATGAACATAAGGTTGTCAAGAACTGATACATACTTATGCTCGTCGCTTCCATTTGGTATTTCTGGCATTATCGGGTCAATAATAATAAGCTTGCCTTCGTTTTTCAGAGATCTATGGCAGTTTCTTAAAATCTGTATGCATTTTTCATCTCCCCAGTTATGAGTTATAAACTGCAAGAGATTAGACATATATACAGCTTATTATCATTAGCAATATAAGCCCTAGGAATAATAATTAGTTACTATGTGAAATTAATTATTATAGCGTTATTAAACTGACCTTCATCATTATAGCATCGCCTTCTGGAACGCTTTTGAACATATCTCCTCCAAGATGCTTCATTCCTTTAATTATATCCAAGGAAGATCTAATGATAAGCTAAAAATATATATATATATATATATATGCTGCATGAATGATGAATTTTGAAAAATATACTGGCTTCAGCCTTTAATATAAGAACTACTTAATTAATTTAGGTATATTGAGAAATTAATTAAATTAGTTATTTATAACAAATATGAGTTGACTTCCTGAAAGTACTCTTTTTCAATCATAACTACTCTTGGATATAAACTTTCTTAATATGTGTAATCAATAAGGATATTTTAGATAATAAATTATAAATTTGGAAGACAAAGTAGACTCTAATATTATATTTAGTATCAAATTTAACTCCTAATCAGCTTTTATAATTACGGACCGGAGGTAGCACAATTTAATTGTTTAATTAGTAGCATCAAAGTTTTAAAGGGGAAAGTTGAATCAAACGTAACACATTACTAAAGTATGTAAAATTACTTGAATTACAATTTCTACAAGATCACACTTTAGTTGTAGGCTAAGTGCCTTCTATCTATATTTGTTGTCTTCATCTTCAAATTTCAACTTCTAAATCCCCACCCTCTTTCGCTATTTTTATTTAAACTTCTCTTCTATAATTTTATCATGCACTATGTTAATATTATTTGCAACAAATAGGTCAAAAATCTAGTTCAACTCAAAAAAGGGTAAAATAGAATAACATGTACATGATCATTTATCACAAAGAAGAGAAAGGGATGAGGAGAGAATACAAATCCGTATAGCTACCTGGATGAGATAGGCCATGTTGTACCACGTGTGGCAAGTCAAAATTAATGCCTTGAATGGAAGGATACTTGGAAATGATCATTTTAAGGTTTTGGCCAATGCCACCAGCCACATCAACAAGCGTGGATATTCCCTCAAATCCTTCATATGTCTCAAGTACATCCTTAATCTGCATAATTGACAAGTCAGCCATTGCCTTGTGAAAAGTAGTTTTGAATGTTGGATCCATTTCCATGTATTCATACATATGCATCCCATGAACTTTCTTGAAAAGGTTCTCTTCCTCGTCAAGAATCACTTGCTTGAAGTTTTGCCTAATTAAAATCACATGTGCCGTACAAATGAAAATGGGTCATGGTGTCTTTCGTATATAATCAAATAAATAAACAAAAAAAAAATTGTGATTACGAATCAAAACATGAAATACCTGCTTACCAAATTTTTATGTAAGTGGGATGATTGCATAATTTGAAGAATCTAACACAGGAGGTTTCATCTTTTTCGGCAATTAAGTATTTGCCATTAGGCGATAGGCTATAGAGCCTCTCAATCTTGTCAGGTTGATCAAGTTTGGTGCAAGAACAAATCAAGAGAGAGTAATTAGAAAGCAAAAACAACATTCGATCCAGCCGGTTAGCCATGCTAGCGTGAGGATTTTCGAGCTTTGAAGCTATTTCAGAGGGGGACATGCCCTTAGGGCTTCCCTTGCCAATGATCTCAAACAAGTTCAGCTCAATAGCAGCATTTAACACTGCAAGGTAAATATGATCAGTTGGCAACATCATAGGATTAAAAGAAGAGGAATTAGAATCATATTCATGATTCTCAATGTTGGTACTCATAATTGCTAGCTTCTTTTCGTTGTAGACTCTCTATACTACCTATGGAGAATGATAGAGCAAATTTTTCTGTCTAAAAGTTCTCACTACATGATTTTTACAGGTCTGGCTATGGTGGTATTTATAGCATAATTAAATGGTGGGACCCTGCATTGCATAGCTAGTGTCCTGATATAACAAGTTATTCCATTATTCATATACACTATCACCGATGCAACTTTTTTATATTGGATTAATACTATTGTTGGTACTCACAATTCAATCAAATTTTGATTTTAGTTCCTATTATTTTAAATTATTAGATCTGGTTTGAGTTTAACGAATTATGATCCTTATATATTTAATGAGTTTTGGTTATGGTCCCTAAGTCGTTGTACTCAAACTCGAATTAAGTTTGTATAAAACTATATGGATCAAAACCAATTATTTGAAATTATAAGGATCAAAATTAAAATTCGATCAAATTATAATGATAAGTAATAATATTAACCCTTTATAAATTTATTAAAAATATAGTATGAATTTGACCATTGACAATTGAAATCTTTTGAGACATTAAATGTAAGAAGCGAGGGATTCATAGGTCAAATTTATTTGAATAAAAAACAAACAATTGATAAACGTGAGATTTGAAAAAATGCATAATTTATAATTCTTCTATCATGAAGCGAACAATTGGCTGGAGTATCAACCTATATATGTTATATGTAATATATATAATTTATAAAACGTCACTCTCTTCATAATTTATTAATATTACGTATAACTTCAAATCCTATATCTCTAGCTGTTTTAATTATAAAAGAATTCTTTGAACGATAGACACGTACATGACCTGAAGGGGAAATTTTTTTTTTTGCCTGCAAATTATGGGACTCATTATTTTTTGTAGTAGTTTGCCACTTGGTTGAAAGCTATTCTAATTTATAATTTTTTTACTACCGTACAATTTAATCACCAAGAACTTCAATGAGTGTGTGTAAGTATTCATTTATACTTCCTTAGCTTATGGTTCTAAATTCTAATTAGCATGGGATGTAGCATCATTTAGGACTTATATAATACATAAAATTTAAATATATTAGATCATCAATCACTTCAAAATACTACTATCTTATATACTACCTCCACTTCTTAATATAAGAGCTCGGTTAACTTTTATTTTGATTTTAAATATAAGATCCTAATTCACTTTGTCTCTCATATTTATCTACCTTTTTTCAAGATAGTTTTTATAGTAATAGTAGTTCTAGCTAATATACTTGATTAGCAACGGTATTTTAGGAAAAACAATACATATTTGTTACAAATAACTAAACAAACTTTTTTAATTTCCACAAATTAGTTAACTAATTTTTATACTAAGGACCAGAAGAAATACAACGCAAGAGACTCTATGAGAAAGTGGAAAAATTATGGAATTAATTATCGTCAAAATAATTTATATCATTGTTAATCATATCAACCGGAAAAAAAAAATTGTAACAACGACAATGCATTGCCTCAACGTGACTTGAGAGAGTAAAATGTACATATTTTATTTATTAAATAAATAGATGAGCCTAATAGAAGCGGTGATGACATAATATTTATGAAATATATTATCGTCAATGTGACATAAAATGATAATAATCTATTTCTCAGAATTAAAATTATGTATGTCCATTTAATATTCATAATGTCATAACGTGACATCAATATAAAATAAATTATTTGATATTATCTATTTATTATCAATTAAGTTTTTAAAATTCATTATTAAAATGTATATATTTTTTAGTTATATTTTTTTAAAAAATAAATTAAATATTTCCATGCCCCAAAATGGCAAAAACGTCTTAGTTGTTGTAAATAATAATGCAATTACAACATTAAGAAATGAGCTGAATTAATAACAATTTCTAAATAGTGCGATTAATTAAAGCTTTATATTTCATATTGAAGATGTCACATGTATATATTATTTATAATTTATGAATTTTGGAGGTTGTTACAGATTTTCTGTTTCATATTTATATATTCTAGATAAATTTCTTTATTTAATTTCTGTTGATAACTCAATCTTTATAATGAAACAGCCATATTGTCCATCTTATTAAAAATGGACTCCTTATTTTTAATTAATCAGTATAATTATAATCTTAATGTATTAACCCAACAAAAGACTTTTATTTGGATGGCCACAAAAAAAAGAAGACTTTTATTTGCCGGACAAAAGACAAAATTTTTATTAAATATATTAATTTGGTGTTATTATTACAGAACCTGATATTTCTAACTTGATAAAACATCATCATACCATATACCATTATAAAATATAGTGCAGATCAAAGATTAATTTACTGTTAACATTATGAAGAAAACATCCGTCAATTTGGATTGCAATTATTATAATTATTTTGTTGTTCTTGGTCAACATCCCCTCGAACAAAAAGGGGAAAAATAAATTTAATATGGTCTAAAACCTGAAGGCAAAGCCTTTCGTGCGGGAATCTGCAACTAGACTTTAGCAGGTTAATATTGTCTTTTTTTGGGACAAAAGATTAATATCATCTTTAGTTCTGACCTGGTTTTTGAAATTTAAAACCTTCAAAAACATTATTCTAGAGATAAAAACTCTTTAGGCGGATCAAAATAAAGTTAGATTTTATTATTTTAAAAATTAAAATTATTGGTTTTATGGACCAAAATTTAAATGAGATGGAAGTTCATCAACTAAAAATGATATTACACCTAAAAAGAAAATAATACTACCTAGTATTCTTAATATGAGAGTTAATTTGACTTTTAATTTGGTCCTAAATATAATATCCCTAGTCTATTTTGTCTATCATATTTATCTATTTTTTTTCAAAATAGTCCCTATAATAGCTGCAAATTTTAAACATTTGATCAAATAGTAGTTCTAACTAATACATATGACTAATAAGGATATTTTAGATAAAACAATATTTATTTATTACCAATAGCTAACATAACTAATTTTTTTAATCTATTTAAATCAATCAACTAATTTTTATATTAAAAACCAAATGTAGTAGTACACCATATCTTGCAAAACAAGAAATTAAAGAAAGCGTCCCACATCCTAAACTAAGAATTTGCAACTTTATCAACCTTGGAATTTCAATATGGATTGCCAGATCTTTTTGCCAACAAAATGGATCGCTGGGTTAATGTTCCTCTGGTTCTTAATTTATGATTTAATTAGAGAATTGATGTTGGTTTCATGTATAAGATTTATTTCACATATTTATTAATTTTTTTCAAAGTAACTTTATAAATATTCTCCCAACAATAATCAAATAGAACAGTAAGGGAGAGAATTTAAGGAAGATGCCATAGGTTTTGATCTTTTAAATTTCTTTTCATTTAGAATTTTGGTCCTTATAATTCAATAAAAATCTGGATTGTTTCACCCCTTGAAGAACTAAAACTTATGGTTTAAAATTTAAGGGATCAAAATTAAAATGAGGACAAACTTAAGAAAGCAAAAATTACATTAATCTCAATCTCAATGTATAAAAATTAACATTGAGCCGAAATCTGGGTCCTGGAAGCCCAATCAATAGTCAATTGGGCAGAAAATTCCTCTTTCACAGCCCACCGGCCTTTGATTGAATTCTTTAACGCATTTTAAGTCCATATGTACGAATAAGGATGTATGTGGAATAGTTCCATTTGACTTTTGCAAATATAAGTTGGAATAACAGTAGGTTAATATAACATAATTTATGTTTGGATTGATGTTTATAAAAAGCTAGTTTGAACCATTGAAACTTGTTTGGATAGATAATGAAAAAGTAAATTTAGATATAAAATGACTAAAAAAGGTATGAGTTTTTTTATAAAACCCGGTTAACTAATTTGAAAAGATTAAAAATACACATAAATATTTTAGTGAAATTATGTAACATATAATATAATTAAATAATTTATTTAGCTTTTATAGTCCGTTCACATTAGTTTATTGGGATTCTATATTAAGGAGCGAATGTAATATATCATATGTATATAATTTGATAAATTTTAGAAAAATAATAAATTAAATTAATTAAATTGTGTTAGGTAGTTTTTTCTTCTCATGAAAAAAAATAAATTATTGGATCAATATAGGACCTACTTAAATATCTTTATTTTTCATCTCATCTTTGTTATTTTCTCTCTCCACATTACCCCGCCCACCTCATCAATGGCAAAAGGCAAAAATTTTATCTTCTCAATGCATCTTACTTTTTGTTCAAAAGTTGATTGGAGTAAAAGCCCACTCAAACAACCCATAATCTCCAAACCAACCTCAAACCAGCGTTTAACACGTTCCAAGGCATTTTTCTGTTGTGGAAATGCCAATCCAAGCACACGCTAAATGTTAGTCTACAACATAAAAATAATAAAGAGCGAATTGCTTTGAAGTTCTAAAAAGAAAAAATTAATAACATGTTTCAAATGACAAGTGAGCAGTTAAAACTATTTTTTGTTTCAAACTTGTCATTATAAGCTGTTTTGTTGTTATGAAACTTTTTTGTGTGTGTGTGAATATGCTATTTCTTTCGAACCTTGTTGCAATTCTTTCAAGAATAAATGTTAGTTTAGATGATAAGAACGTAGTTCATATATCGCAAGCATATGCGCTTGATACTAATAATCAATGGGGATTGTGTTCAATAGAAGGAGTTGGTCCCTTATAACGTGATGAACTAAAATTTAAATTTTCATAGGAAGAAGTATTTATATTTAGCGCTCAACAATGTCTCAAGCAAGATAACTTTGAGTAAGAGGATTCTTATGCTATTATCATTTAAAAATAAAAATTTTCAAATGTTAATGTTATGGTTAGAGAAATAAGAGAAGGGAAGAGGATGGAAATTAAAGCAAGATGACTTAAGAATCCAATTTTTGAAAATTATCAAGTATTATAGCGAAGAAAATATCTGTAACATCCCATATGACTAAAATTAGGGTTACTTTAGAATATCTGTGGATGGCTAAGTGTGTTGCTTAAA